ATGGTGGGAGATTTGACCTCCAGCAGACCTTGAGCTTCTTTATACACATTGTAATGTACTAGCAGGGTGAATGACACACCTACAGGTGCCATGACAGTTCTGAGGCTAACCATGAAAGGTCAAAGAGAGGGCAGTGGCCCAATTCCTGGGAATCTCCACTGCTTCCCTAAAGTAGTTGGACTGATCCTCCCACTTGTTAGCATATAAAAACTAGCAACACTGCGCCTTGCGGCCTCTCTTGCTCCTCACCTTTGGAGGTGGCCGACACTCGGTCTATGGAGTATGCATCTCTCTGAATAAATCTACTTTTACTCAACTATGGCTTACTTTCCTGCGCGAAGCCAAGGACCCTTATTTGACGGGATGTGTCCCAGGGACTTGCCTGAAACCTGGGACATGGCCATCCTCTCGCACCCCACATTTTCCTGTATCAGCTTCACGTCTCCCCACCCTTACACACTGAGGAGAAACTGTTGGAGTTCATGGCCCCGATGTTGAGAAGCGAGATTCTGGGATGGAAGGTGTCTCTGAAGGCTGCAACAGGGAACTAGAAACTAATACAATTATTTCAGAAAGCCTGAATAGGCTAACAAGTTTGTTTTGGGCTGGCAACAGAAACACTGATTGTCTCACGGAAAACTTGATTATTTACTTAATAAATGCAGATTCCCAGACAAAATCTTTTCCGTGGGGGAAAAAAAGAATTTGAGGTCTTGGTTTTAAGAATCATTATTTCAACTTTTAAAGTAAATTGAAACATTGATTTCAATATGAATTCAAGTAAAAGGCTTTAAATCCTTTAACTAGATCTGGCTTAATCTCGAATGTTAATAAACAATTTATCATGGTTTTAAACACACAGTCAATCATTCCATTCTTGGGTGATTTGCACAGTTTCCTGTAACAAAACGAAGATAAAAACAGAGTCACACTTCCTCCTTTGTTTGGCAGAACCTCAAGGTAATTGCCTTAGGCTTCTGCTGAACTTTGCTGATAGAAGCGGGAGGCTGGCTCTCCCAGAAGGTTATTAAGATGAACTAATTTTGTACTTTTATCTATTTCTGTTTGTTTTAATGTCTGATAGAAGTAATGTGATTAAATTTAGACTTTACCCTGTATTTATTTGGAATTAGTGAGTCTCTGCCAAGTCACTCTTTTCCAATAAAGGGAGTTCAGTATCTTGACAAGTGTTTATTGAGTGCCTTCTGTGTGTTATGCATTGTGTTATACAAGACAGAGATGGTCTCTGTTCTCCAGCAGAATGAAGCTTTTACCTCCTTTGAAAACCCTCCAAACCAGGTGAACCACAGTGCACACTGGTCTCCAGATATGCCATGTGCTTGCTCCCCCTGCAACTCTCCCCATGTCTTCCTCTATGCCCTGAATGTCTTCTCCCCACTTCTCACTTTGCTTTTGGGCTATCCCAAAGGGCTTCTCCTCCAAAGCCTTTTTGACATCATGATCAGCAAGCTCATGAAAAGATGCTCAACATCATTAGTCATCAATAGTGAGTTGGGTGATGAACTCAAAACATATATCCACACCCTAATAGCTGCAACCTGTGAATGTGACCTTATTTGGGAAAAGAGTTATATTGCAGATGCTATTAAGTCAAGGATGTTGAGATGAGATCTTCCTGGATTACCCAGATGATCCCTAAGTCCAATGACAAGTGTCCTTTTAAGACACAGAAGCGAAGACACAGAGCGTCAGAGGAGGAGGCCACGTGAAAATGGTGGCCAAGATTTAGAGTTATGTAGCCTTGAGACAAAAAAACACCTGGAGCCACCACAACCTGAAAGAGTCAAGGAAAGAGTCTTTCCAAGAGCCTTCAGAAGGAGCATGGCCCTGCTAACACCTTGATTTTGGACTCTGGTCTCCAGAGCAAGTTTCTGGTTTTTCAAGCCCCTAAATTTGAGGTAATTTGTTATGACAGTCACTGAAAACTAATATACCATACAACCCAACAATTTTACTTCTTGGTATATACCCAAGAGAACTGAAAATATGTCCACACAGAAACATGGACATGAGTGGTCATGATGGCATTATTCATAATAGTCCCAAAGACAAAATCCAAATGTCCATCAACTGATGAATAGATCAATGTGGTATATCCATACGATGGAATATTATTTGGCCATAAAAAGGAGTGAAGTACTGATTCATGCTACACATTGAATGAGCCTGAAAACATGCTAAATGAAAGAGGCCAGGCACCAAAGATCACATGTTGTGTGATTCCACTTTAATGAAAAGTCCAGAACAGGCAAATCTATATTAACAGAATGTGGATCAGTGGTGCCTCGGGTTGGGGTGGGATAGGTAAGGGAATGAGAAGAGTGAGGGGGCTGGGGATGGGTAATGAATTGTTCACTCATTATGAACAATAAATAATTATGAATGACAATTATTGTAGATCTATCCTACCATAATCTAACTAGCAAATCTAACAACCAGGAAAAGTAAGTTCCAAAATGAATGATTAACCTTGGTCTTTGATACTGTGTTCTAAGAGATGTGTCCTTGTAGGTTGAGGGGGTAAAGTTCCTAATCACAGTTTTAAATCCTGACCCTTTTCCAGAGGGGAAACACTTGGCATCTAATCAGTTCCTTTCCTGATTCTCTCTCTACCCATTTCGGGTGTAAGGACTCACGGAAGCTGCATTCTTGGTTCACTGGGCTCGGCCTCATAGAACCTAACCTCACTTCCTGACAGCTTTACCATTTGTCAGTTTCCTCCAGCAATTCTCCTCACTCTGAAAGTGAGACAATCACAATAATCAAATTCTAACTTAAAGCCACTCTCCCTTCTGAGCAAGCCAGACTGCACTCTGTCTATGGAGTGTGTAACTACTTTTACTTTAACCTGAGCACCAACCCCTACACTCCATGGCCTTTCTCTTGCCTTCTGAAACAGCCTTGCACTCTGATACTGGGGCATGTATCTCGCTGAATAAATGTACCTTTACTCAACTGTGGCTCATTCTCGAATTCTTTCCTACACGAAGCCAAGGACCCACACTTGGAAGGGCATGTCCCAGAGACTTATCCGAGACCTGGGACACAGCCATCCTCTCACTCTACATTTTTCCTGTGTCAGTACCTGCTCAGAGATGTCTTCCCTGATCCAAGTCACTCTACCACTTTACCTTCCTGGCACTTTAACTGAGATTGTTATTCACTTTTTCATCTAATATATCTATTCACTCTAAAATGTAACCTCCATGAAAGTGGGGATCTTGTCTGACTTGTTTCCCGCCTGTGTTCCAGCTCCTGGAGTAGTGCCAGAATATTAATGTGCATAATAAATGCTGCTGAATAAATGAAAAAAAATTCTATCTTAAAATGATCCACTTTAAGACATGGCTTCTAAGAAAGCACTACTTCTGAAAGTAGAGACTCTTGTGGTGGGAGGGGGACATCACATACAGGGCCAGAGTCTCAGAGGGCCCATGTGAAGAGAGCCCGCCTCTATCTACCCAACTCCAACACATACCCAGAGGCCAGTTTGGCTCAGAGCTAGGGCCCAGTCGGAGTAATTCTGATGTCCTGCTCAGTGTGACTCAGGGTCATGGTGAGGTCACTGAGATTGTAGAGCTGATTTAAATGTTCAGGTTCTTTTAGTGAGGGCGTTACGAGTGCTGCAGTCACTCCGAGCCCACCCCAGTCTGAACATCCAGGTCGATGAAGGGAACCTGGGAAGGACTGGACCTTGGTGTGACTCTGTGGTGGACTGCTGTCACTACAGCTTCAGCCACTTCAAAGTCCATCCTTTCACCTGTCCCTTCAGTGGCGCTGACCTCTGCTGTCTCAGATCCAGCT